GCGGCCCTGGCCGCGAAGCCAGCCTGTGCCCTGTGCGGCTCTCGGCTGACCCAGGCCGGGTAGCGCAGCGGGTGGGGCCCTCAGCCAAAGGTTTGGTCTGGAGCCCTTTGGCGGGTTAGATGTCTCCGTAGGACGCCCGGGTACCGAGCTGGGAAGGAGTCTTCGCTCCGAATGTGTTTTCTGTCGGCAAAGTGGCGTCCCTGACCCCTAATACTTTGTTGGAAGGCTTCGCGTTTCATCCTGTCCCTGGCTGCCTCTCTTTTTTCGGTTTTGAGGGTGGTAGCAGAGACTTAAGCATTTAAAGCAAGAGCTCTGTCTCTGAGCAGCCCAGCCCATACTTCTCTCGGAGCCCGAGTAAAATTCTTGGGTTGATTCTGGCTCTTTTCTGCCAGAGCTTTCTGCGTTCGGTTTTTCAAGAGGTAGAACCAGCCTGAGAAGGTTAAAAGGCTGGAGTAGAACTCACTTCTGTAGTCTCCGAGTAGCTTCACATCAAAATACTCTTGAATCTCTACATTTAGGGGGTTGAAGATTTTCTCCTTAAGTAGGGCCCCGTATTTTACTGCTCAAATCTGCACAGCTGTCCTCTGGTTAGACGTCCTTCATTAGGTATTGTACTCCAGCCCCCACATGTAATCCCTAGCTTGTTGCCCCGGCCTCCATACTGGGGAAGGGGCCTTGGGACTGCGCTATATCCCCAGCCCTTTATTTTTTGGGACAGGAGGACCTCACCAAATTGCCCAGGTTGGGCCTATATATTTGTGGTCCTCCTGCCTCAGCCTCCCGGAGTGCTGAGATTGCAGGTGTGTGCCAAGTTCAGTTGTGGGCACTGCTTCTGAGTGTTCTGAATGATTGAGCTTGGATCCCTGGTTCCTTCTCCACCTTTGATACGTTCCCCCTTGTAGCCTTTTCTGCCACCGCCCTAGGAGCACCCTCTGCTCCCGAGGACAAAGAGTTTTGCAATTTTATTGCTATTGATGGGTGCTTTGTGCCTCGCACTGAAGTACCCTTTATCACTCGATGGAGACAGTATCTTGCAGTTGAGGAAACCAAAGCACTGACTGGTTATGAAACTCATGAGGTCAAGCAGCTAGTAATAAATTAGACTGAGTTTGGACCCAGGTAGGCTCATTCTGGATTGTGAGCTGTTACCTTGTCTCTAAATGACAGGTGCTAATGACTAGCCTCCCAAAGGCCTTGAGAGTGTCTTCCTTCCTGCCCGGAGCCCAGCTTCACTCACACCTCTCCCAGGGTGTCTTCCTAGGCCTCTTGCCCACTCCTTGCCATTGGGTACCTTGCAAGTTGCACTTGTTCGAGTAAATTCTGAGCTAATTACTGCGGCCAATAAGATCCACGGGCCAGGCCCCTGCCTTAGCTCTTCAGAACGATCCCATAACCACGCGGGGGGGCTGTTTGGTCCAGCCAAGGAGCCTCTGAATCGCTCCAGCTACAGCAGTTATCTTGTGACTGCCCCACCCTACCCCATTATGTTCTTAACCCTATTTTACTATTTGTATCACTTCACCACTAATCAGAGCTCTATTATTTGCTTGTTTGTCCTTTTTCTCCAGATGTACAGTCTATGTCCTCAGCATAAGAAGGGCTCTTGCTTCTTAGGCACCGTTTAAATGCTTGTGGAATCCACTGGGAGCTGTTCCATGTTTTGTCACCTTGCTTTGCAGGATCGTCATTTTTATAATGGATGCCATTGCCTGAGACTGATTACTGTACAAACACTGGTTTCCAGCAGGGTTTTACAGCATCTATAGAAAACATTCTTTTTTTTTTTTGAGACAGGGTCTCATACGTAGTTGAGCTTGACCTGGAACTCACTGTGTAGTCCAGGTTGGTCTTGAACCCACAGCGATCCTCCTGCCTCAGCCTCCTGAGTGCTGGGATTACAGGTGTTATGCCACCACGCCCAGCCTTATACAAAACATTCTTTCCAGGTCCTGCACCACCACTATGGAATGTACATTTGGCCTTGTGCTGTGGTCCTAGCCCAGTACCTCTGGTTTCATAGAAGAGCTCTGCCGGGCAAGGCCATTTTAGAGGTATGAGGGTCCATTTCTGGAATACTGGGTATGTTCAGGGTTGAACCTTGATGCTAGTTACCAGCTCTGTTATTGGTAAAGTAGATGGGTTAGCCACTTGAAAGGTCTGTGAGCTAAAGAAAGCTCTTTTATATTTTTGTTAAAAAAAGAAAAAAACTGATAGACCAGGAAATGGCTCACAAAGCTTAAAATAATTAACTAGACTTTTGACAGTTTGATGACTCCTAAAGTTAGTCTGGGCACTGGCAGCAGTCTTTGCTGACCTTTCCAAAGATGATTGATGGGTCACCCAAGTGCTTCTCACAATTAGGCTGCTATATGTAATAAAATACCATAAATTAGGTGGCTTATTAACAAATTTCATGGGTTCTCTGGAGGCTTGGGAAGTCCAAGGTCAAGACCAAGCTTCTGGCTTACAAAACTGAGCCTTGGATTCACCTTGAGACTGTACTCTTAAGTGAGATAAATCAGATGGACACATTTAAATACCATGTTGTTTCTCTGATGTGAGACACCAAAAGTGGAAATAAGAATAAATAAAATGTATTTTTTTGTTTTCTTTTTTTTTTTTTTTTTTGAGACAGGGTCTCACTAGCCCGGGCTGGTCTTGAACTCACAGTGATCCTCCTGCCTCAGCCTCCCAAGTGCTGGGATTACAGGCGTGCACCACCACCCCTGGCTCAGCCTGGGCAATCTAGAGACTTAGTAAGACCTTGTTTCAAAATTTAAATAAATAAATAAATAAATAAGGCTGGGGATGTAGCTCAGTGTGAAAGCCCTGAGTTCAGTCCCAAGTGCCACCATGCCCAATGCTAGAACTAAAATGTATAATAGATGGGGGAAATGGAAAGCGGAATGTTCAAGGGAACAGGGAGCGGGGAGGAAGGAAAGGACATGAAGAAAATAGAAGGAAAAAATGGAAACAAAGCTTTTGTATATAGGGTGGGGGAAGGAGGCATGGGATGTATGTTGTATAGGTGCAAATTCCCTATGATGAGTGTTATTGTATCTAAAATGTACCAATAAATGTTTTGCTTCAAAAAATTTTCCTAAAAAAAAAAGTTCACCTTCTGTGTCCAAGGAAACTCTCCAGGGCCTTTGTTTGTTTTGAGACAGGTCTTGGCCATGCACTCACGGCAATCCTCCTCCTGCCTTAGCTTCTCAAGTCTGGGATAATAGGTGTGTGCCACTGCCTGGCTTCCACAGCCTCTTTTTTGGTGGAGGGAGCTGTAGCGGGCTGCACTGAGGATTGAACTCGGGACCTTGTGCTTGCAAGGCAGGCACAGTGCCACTGAGCTAAATCCCCAGCCCCTGGAAGCCTCTTTTAGGGTCACTAATCCTAAAGAGCACAGCCTTCATGAGCACCTCCTAGAGGCCCTACATCACAGTGGTATTTAGGTGGGCACAAAACATTGCCCATAAGCATAGCCTTTTATGTTTCGTGAAATGCTGGTATTAACTTTAAAATACATCCCTCTGGGCTGGGGATGTAGCTCAATGGTGCCATCCCTGCCTGCCTCGCAAGTGCAGGGTCCTGAGTTCAATCCCAGGTACTGCCGTAGGTGAGCAGGAATCCCTCTGCCATGCATGGGGTGGTACATGCCTGGAATCCCAGCACTCGGAGGCTGGGGCAGGAGGATCACCAGGCGTTTGAGGCCAGCCTGGGCTACGTTGTGAGTTCAAGACCAGCCTGAACTACGTAGCTGAAAAACCAAAAACAAAATCCCTTTATAATTTCCTCACCACTCCACCTTGCTTGGGTTTGCTGAAGGCTTGGAAAAACCTTACCTGTTTCTACAAATGGTAAGACTTTCATGCTAGTTTTTGGCTTAAATATCCGTTAATACATTCAGAAAGTTTCTATGCCCATCTTTAAACTAGAAAACAGCAACCTTGTTGAGTGTGCCTGTGACCAAATTTCTATTATCCGTTAGTGTTTACAAAATTACCTTTCAAGATGCAGCTGGACAGTCCCCTTTAGTAGGAGGCTGTTGTAGATCCATGTTTAGCTACAGAAAAGCAATTAACTTTGGGACAACCACAGTTAGCTAGCTATACCTGCGAGTTACCACTGCTGGCACCCTCTGAAATTGGTGGCTTTTCCAGCATGCTAATAAGAGGGCTGAAAACCACATTCCTTGTGCCTTGTAATTGAACTGCCCATGACACATTAAGTTGGAAGCAAAGCCTTTCAGTATCAAAATGGGAACTGGTATAACTTATTTCCACTCCTGGACCCAGTAATTAATCAGGAAGGAATTCACTTTTGCCTGACAAATATAAAGCCTAAGCTTCTTGGAAACAGGACAAACCTGACTCATTCAGTTCCTCACACCTTTCAGGATGTCTCCCTAGGACTACTTGCCATTAGTATGCCTTCCAAGTTACACTTGTTAAAGAATGTATCTAAAACCAAGTTCTTTGCCATTCCAAGTGATTTTTGAATACTTTCACATTTTTTATTAGATTGGAGCAGGAGTGAGCCTTCCAGGAATCTTGGCTGCAAAATGTGGTGCTGAAGTGATACTGTCAGACAGTTCAGAGCTGCCTCACTGTCTAGAAATCTGTCGGCAAAGCTGCCAGATGAATAACCTTCCACAGGTGGATGTTATAGGGCTGACTTGGGGTCACATATCTCAGGGTCTTTTGACTCTACCACCACAAGATATTATTCTTGCATCTGATGTGTTCTTTGAACCAGAAGGTAAACAATTTTTGCTCACTATTAAAGAGTCTGGCCAGCAATACTATAGAATAAATCCCATTTAAAGAAATGCCTTTTCTCCCTAGATTTTGAAGACATTTTAAGCACAGTGTACTTTTTGATGCAGAAGAACCCCAAGGTTCAACTGTGGTCTACTTATCAGGTTAGAAGGTATGAGTAATTTTGATTTACTTAAAATCTCATTAAAAGTGCTGGGCATGGTGGCACACACCTGCAATCCCAGCACTCGGGAGGCAGAGGCAGGAGGATTGCATTGAGTTCAAGACCAGCCTGGGCTACATAGTGAGTTCCAGGTCAGTCTCAACTACACAGAAAGACCGTCTCAAAACAAAAACAGGGCTGGGGATTTAGCTCAGTGATTCGGGGGCCTGCCTTGCAAGCACAAGAACCCGAGTTCAATCCCCAGTACCAAAAAAAACAAAAACAAAATTTAAAGGGCAGAACCAAAGAGGTGTAAGTTTGAACATTTTTTTTAAAGTGCCGACTGGTCCCTTGAAGCTCTGCTGTACAAGTGGGATATGAACTGTGTCCATATTCCTCTGGAGTCTTTTGATGCGGATAAAGAAGATATAGCAGAATCTGCTCTTCCAGGAAGACATACTGTTGAAATGCTAGTCATCTCCTTTGGAAAGGGTCTCTGAATTATACCCATAAGCTGTTATGGACAATGTTGATACCAGGATCAGACCGCTCCCAACTTCCCAGGAAAATGAGATAAGCTTGAAGACGGACAGATCTGCTGGTCGTAGACTGTATGACAAGATGCTAATGGGTAACATCAACCATACAAACAATTAAAGCACAATGTGATGAGTAAGGACTTGGATTGTTCTTAATTAAGCATAAATTAGGTTGAAAAGGGGTACTTACAAGTGCTACCTCGAGGCCATGGTATTAGGGGCTCAGCTGGCACATCTAATGTAGGAGAAACAGTACTACTACTTCGTTGTTGTCTATGCTGTATAGCAACAGTGGCAAACCTATGGCATGTGTGCTGCAGCAGGCTGGCTGTATCACTGAAAGCTCTGAGGTTCACCACCACTGTTACATAGGCAAGTGACACTCCAGACATCTGCACAGGTCTTTCAAATAAATGGCAAAAGAGACCAAGGCATTCTAAGAGTTAACACCAAGAAAACATTTTTAATTAAACTACAGAAACAATGGTTATAGTACAGAATATTCATAAGCAAAGATACACCATGTTTTAAGTACTTACAAAGTTACAAACCATTTGTTTCCTTAAAACATTTTCCATATTTTAAGTTCGTACATGAAGATGATCAGATTTACCATTTTGGGGGAGGAGTAGGGGAAAAAAGGTGTATTTATCATCAGCTAGATGTGCTCACTGTATGCTCCGTTATTTATATGCAAGGCCCGGGTGACTGGAAGTGCAGTTGACAGGCATTTTAATAAACTGGACAGCCATTTGTTTCTGCACGACAAGGCATCTTTACACAGGAGCAATCGGGAGAAAACAGGAAACAGCCAAGCACTCTGCACTGCAACACGCCACCTTAACAGCTAACCAGCATTACTCAACTGCTACACAACTGCGCCTAGTGCACAAAAATACATAAGAGAAGAGATTAGAATTGTGTTTGGTAAACAATCCTTTCAAAAAATCAAGTCTTTTCACCTGAAAAGTCTTTATACAAATTTGGGTTCAGATTACCATTTAGGCCTGAAGGTAAATAACATATAAACAAATTTACACCAACTTTTGTAGGTTTTTAATTTTAAGGAATGAAGGCAATGTTGAGTCAATCTCTTGACAGCTTTAGGCTGTGTGTAATGGCTGCACTCGTTTCCTTAAAAGTCAGGAGGCCACAAATTAGGTTATCAATCTGTTTAATTTCAAACAAAAAAAGTCAGCACTATATAAACAAAATGAAATTTTACCTCAAATATCCAATCCAATAATGAAATCTGAAGTCGTTCACCTCACTAAATTACAAGAAATTTGAATAACAGCAACAAAATGGCACATAAAATGAAGTTTGCCACCTGAGGCAAAGTTTAAAACAAGTAAAAAGTTAGACAAATGTTACAAAATAACCTTTTCAATAGCCAGTTGCTTGTTCCAAAGACTCTTCGATGGACCGATGGACTGAGTTCGTGGTCCTTTTTCCCAAAGTCCTCTGTTATGCTGCTTGCCGATATATCTAGGTTTGAAAAGAAAAAAGTTCAGCTTACTTTCCCTTATTAAAAAGGTACCAAAGTGCACATGGTTTCAGTTTTCTGGTATGTACTAAGGCTCTGGTGAAACAAATAGGTTACAGTAAGGTTCCACCCAGCCATTAAGAGATTTTTAAAGGCCCAATTAGGAAATTTTCAAAATCAGTATTTACAAGTTCGAATTTATTATTTCTTGGCCAAATAACCAAAGTGAAAAAAAGGTAAGGTGGGGAAGGGGGGGAAAAGAAAAAATGGGGAAAAGGGCTGTATCCAAACAAAAGCGACATGAAATCTTATTACATTTTAAGAAATCCTTTTCAAATGAAGTATTTGACAATCGAGAATGTTTTCATCCGAGCTACTTAGGGCCCTTTCCTTTTAAAAAATAGGACCAAACAATTTGAGAGTTAAAGACACACTATCCTTTCCCCACCCAGTGCAGTACCTGTAAACTTTCTTTCTTTTGGGGTTCCAAAAGTTCATTGCTTCTTAATTGCAATTCCTTTGCCACATCCATTAGAATAGGAAGTCCCAGTCAGTACAACAATAGTTGAACTGATCGTTTTTCTCTACCAGGATAGTGCATCTTTAACGTTTAAAGACAAACCTGCTCCAATACACGCCCACAGAAACTGGTCCCTGGAGGATCAGCCAAATCAGTTAAAATCTGCAATACTGGCCAATATTCTTTTATCAAACAGGAGACCGCAGCTTTAAAGGGGGAAAATGCAGACGTTGGATAAAAACAGCAAGAAATAATCATTTTCATTAATAGGTCTCAAAACAGTTTACGAAACAGCCATTACTATCTAAGCTTAATACACATCCTTTCTGCAGACCCCTCTCTTCAGTTTTACTCCCAAAGCCGAGTAACTTCAGAGCAGCGCTCCTAACACCAGGAGTCACTTTATACTAGTTTGGCTAAGACCTACTCCAAACCCCATTTACGAGTCAAGGCTGCGCCTCGGAGCCCGCGGACATTACCATTTTCTTACGAGGACACCGCTCCTTCCTCTTCTGGAGACTTGGGGGGGCTCTTGGATCGCGACCTGGACTTCGATTCTCTCTTGGACACGGGGGGAGGACTCCTGGACCGCGACCGGGATCTGGACCGCGACCGAGATCTGGACACCGACGAGGACTTGGACTTGGACCTTCGCGCAGATCTGGACTTGGAGGTCGATCGCGAGCGAGAGCGAGTGCGGGATCGAGACTTGGAGCGGCTGTAGCGAGAGCGGCTGCGGGAGCGGGAGCGGCTCCGACTCCGGGATCGGCTGCGGCG